ATCAGAAAAATGAGAGTGAATATAAATGATATAAATCAATGATTACTCACTTTAACAACCCTCTTAATCTACCAAATTCCATGCCTAAATTTACTCCCTCAACGTATCCGTCATTAAATCCATCTTGAATTGTTACATCCTTTCCTTCTAAAATTCCCTCTTTATATCCAACCTGCATAAAGTTTAGGTGGAAAAAAAATCGAATGAAAAAAAATTAAGATAAAAATTGATGATTTAAATAATATAAATAATACATTTCCAAAATTTTCATTCATGCGTTCCCATTCTTTTAAAGACATTATTCTATCATATTCAGATATTTCTTCATCTGAAGCCCAAACATCATCACTTTCGGAAAGCATTTTGTTTGTCGAATGAGAAATTTATGATGATTATAAAAGGGGTTTTATATGCATTTACAAAAGCTTGTGTAACAAATTTAACTATGTTCGGATAAATTAATCGACGAATTTATTATAATTTATTTATTTATAAAAATATGCACATTTATTTTATACATCGCGATAACAAAACCTTCTCACTAAATCTAATAAATGGTCTGCTGAGTTTTAATTTCAATTTCTCCGTTGATTTTATCCATTTTTACACCACCGGTAATTTCATTATTTTGTAATCTCATTAAAGCCTTTTTCACATTCGTTAGATGGATTTCAAGAGGAATATCAACCAAAAGACGTGTTACTGTTTCTTCGCGTAAAAATTCTAATTGATGTTGGAACTTGTCAAGGTATCCCATGATTAAAGCGATTCTTTCAACCGCAACCTTTCTTTGATTATCGAGATTTTTAAGTAACTTTAGATTATTCTTGAAGATTGTTTTTTCTACATTGTTACCACCAAGAATCGACCAAAGTTCGGAAAGCAATTCCGCTTCACTCATTGTTTGTAACAATTCTTCTTGACCGGTAATATCGCGAATGGTATCTTGAATTACATCGAGTTTTTTAAGTCTTTTTTTTTTTTTTTTATTACAATGCATAATCAATAAATATAATTCAAATTTTAGTTATGATAAATCATTAAAATTAAAAAAAAAAAAAAATTTTCCTTACATGTTCAATGTTTTATCTGTAGCTTCAATCAGTTTTCGAAGATCATCATCGGTCAATTTCATAAGAATATTATGATGTTTATTCAAATCTCTTTCTTGTCTTGGACTAATAATTTTTCCACTGAAATCTTCAAGAGTCTTCAAAGTATATGAAATATAAGTTATTGTGTTATCCAAAGAAGTTTGAGCTCTAATTTGTAAAGTTTGAAGATCACTATTTGCTTCAAAACTTGTATCTGCAAATTCTTTCAGTTTTTCAGTCAAAAGATTTTTGGATTTTAAATCAGAATATTTAACGATCAACATTAAATCTTTTGTAGCTAATTCGGCTTTTTTAATATCATGAGCCAATGAACCTTCCGAATCAAGTTCTGCCGCCTGTTTTAAAAGCCGTTCTTGTGCTTCAACTTGCGCGTTAACGATAGCAGTAAAATTGGGAATTGGGGATTTACAAAATGAAAAAACCAAATTAGAATAAGGGGTATTGTTACAGATTAAATCTGTAGTTGGAAAATAAAGTGAGCCAAAAATTGCTGAAATAAAATAGAATGAAAGCAATCCAATTATAGACATCAAAACAATTGTAGGTCTTGGAATTGCTTTAACGTTTTCCCAATATTCTAAAAAATCATTTCGTAAAAAAAAAAAATAATTCAAGTTTAGCATATATTTAAAATTTTAACGATCGATTAAAATAAATGATCTTGGACTTTTTACGCAGACGCTTCATACAAATTTAAAAAAAAAAGATATATACCTTCTAGTTTAATTAAAGTATGTTGAGAGACATATTTGTCAAGGAATTTATCTTCATTATGTTGACTTTGTTCAGTGTTTGTCACTTCAAAGTTATTGAAGTTTTCGTCAGTATTTTTTTCTTCAATATTTCTTTCGTTTTCTTCAATTTCATGTGTTGCGTTAGTAACTGTCAAATTCTGTGTATCCGAGCTAGAATTCTCTTGAGGTTCAGCGTTAACGTGCATTTTATTTTTCTCCCTTAGAGCAAGAAAAAAAAAAGGGTTTAAAAATTTTGATGTTGGGCACAACAATAATAAAGCCTGTTGTTAGGGTGTCCAGAAATATGTGGTGGTAAATCTCAAAATATGTATGTGTTAATAAATAAAATATGCGATAATATGTGTTCATAATTCTGGTAAAAATTATGT